TGCATCTTGCAATTAACCATCAATCCCTCGGCCCATATAGGAAATTTTAGGGCTGAGAACAGCCCCCATCGAACCATAGATTCAGTCCAACCAGTTTGGTCCAATCTGGTTCGAATGGATCTAGGGTTTGATGTTTAATTCAAGATTCAATTCAAGAAGATGATCTGAAATTAAACAACTGATAGATGACATTCAAGAATCAGTAATCAAACAAAAAGGGGGTTGTTCGCAAGGCTGCTACCCTGCAAAACAAAGATCAGTTCACAGTATGCAGTTTTCAAAACTGCAAATCGCAGATCGCTAAACCCGAATCTACGAAATTCTCTCCTTTGCACTTTCAGTTTCGTTTTCGAATGAAATAAAAATAGAAAACCAAATTATTCTATTAATATTACATCAGATTCGAATTCCTATACATTCCGTCTAAAATTGAAAAAAATTAAAATTAATTACAGACCAAGAATGAATAGAATAAATCAGCAGGTGCGCAGATTTCTTGCACCAATAAAAGAATTCGATCTCCACTATACGAATAGCTCAAAATCCAAGAAAAATATATAGAACAATTCTAAATATAAATCAGATTAATAAAGATTTAACTTCAGATCATTCGCCCAAAATTGGGAACCGATTTCCCAGAAAAAAAAAAAAAAAAAAAAAAAAAAAAAAAAAACGTTAACTGAGAAATTCGAGTAAAACGCCTTCTGCCCATTTGCGCAGATCCAGATCTGGTTTAATTCGGTTCAAGATTTGAACCTGGCTCTGATACCACTGAAGGGATGAGAGATCCATCATATGGATGGCCGAATCCTGTAGGAAGGTTGGGCGAAATTTCAAAAATTTCTCTCTCCCATCTAGGAATCGCATTCCCTATTTTAGAAAACTGCATTTCAATGATCAATTTTGAACCAAACCGAACCATGTCTGAAACCAAAAGGGAGGAGAGGGATATACCTGATACGAAGTAGCAGTAATTCCCAATGAAGGTGTTCCGCCCAAGGAGAAAACCAAAACCTGCTTCCACTGAAGATGACACAGTGTGAGGTGAAGCAGGATCAGCAGGACGACTTTTCAGCAAGAACCGAATTCTTCAGCAAGAATGGAGTAGAGGGCTGGTGAGCACGACTTCATATTGCTTCTTCTACCAAGAAGCAATATCAAGAACAATTCTTGATCACTCTCACAAGTGGAGATCGAACTGGGTAAAGGCGGCAAGAACAGAGAATAACTCTGCAGTTTGTTGTGGTGTATCTGGTGTCTTTCATGTTCGCCCTACTCTCTTATTTATAGCCTTAAAGAGACAACCTCTTAATCTGATTAGGAGTTTCCTGATCTAAATCTTTATTTGGATCCTTATGCAATTCAAGATCAGCTTAATCCTAATCAAATTAGGAGTCTCCTGATCCAAATCTTTATTTGGGTTTGGACTCTTTAAGTGGATAAGACTTATCCTCTTATCCTTATCTACTGATCCAAACCCAAATCTGCCCCTATTTAATTAATCTAATTAACCCAGTTCGAAATTAGGCTTTAGGACCATTAAGTTTATGTGCTCACTTAACCTCTTAACCTGCTGCCCAGTTGGCTCTCTTTGTATGGCGTGGAACCCAAACATTGATCTACACATCAGCCACATGGGTTCAGCTCAGCCTTTGTTATAAGGTTTGGCCGAATTCACTGTAGGAGACAGTGAACCCCTGAGTCTATCACTATGGACTCTTAATGGGCCCAACATTTACACTAAATGGTCCTTGGGTCCAACCACCTTATGAAAACCCAAGGACTGTGGGCAGATGCAAGATTAGCCCATCAAGTATTACCCTCAATGGTCTTACACTTAACCCCTCAACCCATAATGATCAAACACTGCCCGACAAGAGAGGACCTCTCCCTCAGTAGCAAGGAACAGTGTTGCACTCTCTACTCACATGGATCCCGGGAATTAAAACCTTTTGCAAAACATTTTGAAGCCATAATATATATATATATGTATATCTCTATATAAATATATTTTGCAAAAACAAATTTCAACGGTTGAAATAAACTACCAGCAGTTTAGGTTTCCACCAGAGAGAGTGCATCCCCGATCATTCACTTTCTCCGACAAAGGGGTTGATCCTGTCACTATGATCACCCACTCAGATGAATTCTTGGATTGTTCCAACATACCCAGGTTTTGACCCCCTCTAAGGATCTCACTGATTGGCATATCAAAGACAGCCCGATCCGATACATAGTGTAGTACCATAATCGAGTCTAGGGGTCAGGTGTAACATTCCAATTTTGCCCATCTATCTCCAAGGCCCAGGGCAATACTGGAATTTTGGTCCGGTTCAAGGTTTCAAGAAAACCCACACTGCATGTATGATGTGGACGCCGGCAACAGCAGCAATAATTTAGTGCAACAGCAGCAGTAATTTAGTGTTCTCAGCAACAGCAATTTAGTGTTCTCATCCTATCTTATCTATTCAGTATTCTTGCCTTATCTGCTTTCAGTAGTAGGGATTAGTAAGAGTCTTATCTATTCAGTGTTCTTATCTTATCAGTTCAGTAGTATGGATTAGTAGGGAGTCTTATCTTATCAGTTCGGTAGG